GAGCGGCTGAGTCCTGAGCAGCTGGAGGAGGTGCGAGAAGCCACGCGGCGAGAGACACACATCCTTCACCAGGTCGCCGGCCACCCCCACATCAGTGAGGCTGCATTCCCTGCTCTTGTTAGCCCTGCCCACAGCCCACTTCCCCCAGCACTGCCTCCATGCCTCTGCTCCCTTAGTCCTGGCTCCGCTGCACCTCAAAGTGTGGCCAGCCTTTGGGTCCCTACTGCCTCCTTTGGTTCTCCTTCCTTCCCAGTAACAGCCCACTGCTGCCTCAGGGTGGAAAAGGCCCTTTAATGTGCATCTGCTCCTTTCCATCTCTGTCTCTCTGCCTTTCTGCCTCTTTCCCCAGTCACTCTCATCGATTCCTACGAGTCTTCTAGCTTCATGTTCCTGGTGTTTGACCTGTGAGTATCTCCCAGCCCCAATCGAGAAGCCTCCTCCTCACCTCCATGCATGGCCCCAGGCTTACAGCACAGTGGGCTGAAGACCACCCTGCTCACACCTTCCTCTGCTCCCGCTCAGGCCTGCCTGCCAGCTCAGGGCTCTGGCCCTTCTCCCTAGGTGCCCAGATTGAGGCAAGTTCTCCAAGAGTCATAGTGACCAGCTAAGTACAAAGGGTCTTCATGAGACCCTGTTTTAGGAGGAGAGTGTTTATTTGTGAGCTGACCACATATAAATAGACTCTCCCTCACCAGTCTCCCAGTGTTTAACACCCTCCACTGGAGTCTCTGTCTGCCCATCAGTTCTTTTTCTGGTCGGTCTAAAGCTGAATGTCAGATATTATACAGTGCTATAATGCAAACCAGTTGCAAAGGTACTTCAAAAGAGAATGGTTTGGATACCAGATGTTTAAGAGAGGCTCTTGGAAGAAATTTACAAAGTCTTCAGACAGAAATGACCCTCTGCAAAAGTCGAGGGGAAGTGGGAAGTGTCTGTTACACCACCATGCAACTTTGCAGAACCTGGTGTGTTCTTTATTTCAAGGATTGATGCAGACTTGCAATTATAACCTCAGTTTTTAAAGACAGGATAAAATAAGCAAAATTCAAAATAAAGTCCCATTCAACTTTCTTGCTACTATTAACTGTAAAATTTTGGTCCGTGGTCTAAATAGATTCACTTCAGAAGGCGTTTTGTGAGTGTATTCTCAGATAACACAGACTTCCTGTAAATGATTATTATCACAAGGCACTTATTCTTGCTAAAATAGCCCCCTTGTGGCACAGTGCAGATATTTCGACGGCCAACCCATTGGGCCAAAGTGCCCCTGACATCCGGTTCACTCTTGGAGTGCTCTGTCTCGAGACCCTTTCATTTGTCTACAGAGGGATCTCTTTACTGGCCTCTTCCGTGGTATTTTCTGTGAGCACTGGCTTCTTTTCTCAGCCGCCACTGTGAGGTGCACCTATCTCCCAACCCCTCCTATCCCTTAGGATGCGGAAGGGAGAGCTGTTTGACTATCTCACAGAGAAGGTGGCCCTCTCAGAAAAGGAAACCAGGTAATGGGTGAGCCTGCAACCCCTGGGATGAGCAGGGGGTGGGGCGGGACAGGGAGAAGCAAAGGAGCCTGTGTCTCCCTCAGGTCCATTATGAGGTCTCTGCTGGAAGCAGTGAGCTTTCTCCACGCCAACAACATTGTACACCGAGACCTGAAGCCTGAGAATATTCTCCTAGATGACAATATGCAGATCCGACTGTCAGATTTTGGGTTCTCCTGCCACTTGGAACCTGACGAGAAGCTTCGAGGTGAGGGGACCTGGTACCCTGAGAGGCTT